ATAATTTTTTTAGTATAACTTTCGCTGACAGGAAGTAAAACATAGTAATAAAACTGAGTCTGTGACCTAAGTTAATATGATTCCAAATTTGATTGTTATCCATTGACCATTTCGTCGAACAATGAAGTTGAACCTTTTCCCTACATTTTTATATGAAGTTTTGCAGGAGTATAAAATGTTCGGTTACACGCGAACTTCCTTCCTTACTCGTTTTATTTTTTTTGCTTGGAAGTCATAAATTTTCCATAAAAGTAACAAAACCTATCCTCCCTTTCGATGGTAGAAGTTTTTTATACCACAAATTACACCTATGTCGTTTCAATATTGCATTCTTCCGAATTTCAAAGTCATTCCCAGCGTCATGAGTATTGAAGGCAGGTGAATATAATTAAATAATATTATTACGGGTCAATATATTAAGCCAAAAATTAGTTATATATTTTTTATAAACTGATTTTTGGCGCATGATTATTATGTCTCGATCAACTCGTAAGGCACAAAACTTTTCTAGTTGCTCGTGTAAACGCAGCCACCGCTCATAAAATGAGATTTTTATAGAGATATAATCTTACTCGGTTAGCTGTAATATATTCGTAGTTATCACCAACTCGTTGAAACTGAGCTAACTAAAATTTAAAGAAAAAAAGCAGACATTTCTAGGAAGGTATGAGACTAAAATTTCGAGAAATAAAACATACATACATATAATCCACATTCAGAAGTTTATTCTACCAATACCTGGAAGAAGCTTTAATTTGGTTACTGACATACATATGTACTCGTATAGTACTATATAGAGGTGGGGGTTACTTAGAATATAACAACTGATTGCTATTAAAATTTCAGTGAAATTTATTATCAGCGAAATAGTTATAGGTGCATGTTATATACGTATACATGTATGTAGGTATATATGCCGATATTAAGAACACACATACAAAGCTCGTGTTACAAACCACAGATTTTATACATACATACTATATTTTTGCCGCTTTCTAAGTTATAAAAGTTCAAATAATATGAGCTTTAATTAATTAATTTTTTTTTACAGAAAATGTTATATACAAGTACATACGCATACATATATGATTGGATCACAATCCCGCTCTTATCAGTTCTTTTCTTTTCTGAAATCTCACATACATACATATAAATATTTACCTATATATTTATATAAGTTAATGTCAAGGTTGATGAAAATCAAATTATTTAAAAATAGAAGAATATTCCGCATTCTAAAGAACTCTAGGCAGACCCTTCCCGTTATCGCTTAAAAGCTTTGTTATTGCTTTTCAACATTACGCAGACGCTTTGAGCTGACGTAAAAATTGTAAGACAACGCATCAGCTTAATATTTTAATGTGTGTACTAATGCGAGAATACAGACAAGAATTTGTATGTAAGGGGTTGTGATCGCTTAGATTTAAAAATATTTCAAAAGGACCAGAAATATTTCCCCAATGTTTTTCTTTAATTATAGTTTTTCAACCACTAAGTAAAATCGTGCAGTCTGACAATTAAATTTTGAGACAAATAAAAAATAAGTTTTAAGCTAGTCCAACAGAGCGAAATGGCTCACGTGGGGTCCTAAATGTTAAGGTTTTCGAATCAAACTAACTTGTGATCGTTCATTATATGTAAAGTAAATAAATTTTATTTAACTGTTATATTGTTTTGAAAATTTTACCATGTTCTTATCTACACTCAAGCAGTCAAAAGCATTAAAATGTATAGGGCTAGAACTTTCCCTACGAATTTTACTTCCAATTAATATAGGGCGGCTCACGAATCATGCTACAAAAACAATCCGTAATAACTTTTTTTTAATCAATGCATAACATTTATGTTTTTTATATTTTATATAATTTTATATATATAATTTTAAAATAATGGACCGTAAACGACCTCCATGCTCAGCCACGCATATGCGACACCTAATTAGAAAATTATTCATTGCGGCCTGAAGGGTTCAACAGATTTCTGGGCTTTGTTTTGTACACCTTTTGCTTGACATAACCCCTTCAAAAGTAATCTGGTGCAGTAAGATCAGGTGACCTTAGGGGCCAGCGAAAATTATAATGATATTATCAAATTTTCGTTGGAGCTGCGCAATATCCGATCTGGCTATGTGCGCAGTTGCTCCATCTTGCTGAAACCAAACGCTATTGAAAGGGATACGGCTTCGAGGCATTTCTCGGTATAAAAGCTCATTAAACATCTCTAAATAACGGTGCCCATTAACAGTTACTGTTACACCGTTTTCTTCAAAGAAGTATGGCCCGACAATACACCTTGATGAAACAGCGCACCACACAGTGACTCGTTCTGGGTGAAGTTCAGTCTCTTGGATTATTTTTGGATTTGAGTCACTCCATATACGGCAATTTTGCTTGTTTACATTTCCGTCCTCATCAGGCATAAACATGCAATTTTTCCAGTTATTGTCTTCTTCGGCCATTTCATTGAATTTTGGCGACTAGGCAATTCTAGAGGGTTTAACCGGCTTGTTATTTCAATTTTGTACGAAAACACGTTTAAATTATTATGAATTATCCGTTTTAATGGCCGTCTCCAAGTTACTCCTCCATAATCATGTCTGAATTCCCATTGGGCAGAAATGACGGACTTTTGTTTTGTAGCTCGATTCGTGAGCCACCATGTATAAAAACCAATGAAAAGCATACGTTTTTTCTTTGAGTTGCCACCTAAAGATCAATTGCAATACTTTAGAAAAACTCGTATGTTTAGACAATAATCAGCTCTACCTCCGGTCCCGTTGCCATAGTATTAGACACTGTGTTATCAAACAACACAACATGAATGAAGCTGCAAATCCGCATGTCAAGGTCGTTGTAGGAGAAATATTATCTGAAAATTTCAAATTAAATCGTATTTTATATATAATATTAGGCTTAGCATGCAAATTCATTTTGCAATCAGTATTATTTTTTATAAAAAAAAAATTATATATATATTATAACCCTAAAGCTTTATTTAATCACAATCGTACATTCGAAATTCTTTGCAGTATCACGCAGTATACTAATTAAAAAAAAATTATTATGTACATACATATGTACTTATTAACACATTTATTTTGCTTGAAATAGAAAACGACTTTTGCGTGCTGAAAACAAAAGTCAGAGGAAAATGACTACGTCGAACACCAACGCCGACCGACCCGGAATAGCAGCATTTCCTTCTTCGCAACTTGATAGTCACTATTTTATTTATTAATAAATGCGCATAAGTATATAGCATATTCATGCTAATATTCCGTTAACAAATATGCGTCAACGCTACTTTTCGATAACTACCGTTCTAATTCAACAAGTAACCGTACAATATACTTGTAAAATAAAGCACATAACCATATAGAGTATATGCTCTCTGCAGTTTCACTAGTCAACTAGGTTTATGGTACTCGCTGCGTTTTGCCACAAACGAAAAAGCTATATATTCCTCGTATTTACCTGTACGGAAGCCAGGTTGTATGTAGAGTTTCTGGCTTCTGAATTCGTAGATTTACTAGTGCTATGTAATTTATGGCTTTGAATGAACATACCATCTGGACAATACTTCAATCCATACGGCAAAAGTCACCAAATACTTATATATATTTTTATATCTTATAGTTACAATATATATATGGATATATCCCCATACTCTGATATATTAAAAGTATTTATGTTACGTTAACATAACTTCGGCTCCTCCAAAACTATTATATATAACCCTTCACAGGTGCATTTTTTATAACATAAAAGGGTATAAAAAGATCTTTATTTTGACTTTTATCGGTCAGTTTAAATAGCAGCTATATGTCTTGGATATTAATCTATGCGAAGATACCTTGTCAAATAAAAAAGTTTTCTACACAAAGACTTCAGTTCGATTGGTCAGTTTGTATGATTATTTGCTACAGTTGTCCGATCTGAACAACTTTTGCGTTGTTTGAGTTTGATATGTACGTTTGTATTGCAGCTATTGGCTATGTTGTCTGATATCTGCGGTTCCAAAAAATAAGCAACTTCTTTGTGTAAAAAGAACGTGCGAAAAATTTCAGTCCGATATCTCAAAAATGAAGAGCTACTTCAGCTCGTCGTCTTGATAATTTATATATATGTATACTTTGTATAGTCTCCAACGTTTCGTGTTGAATGTTACAAACATCCTGGCAAAATTAATATACCCTTTTCAGTGTGTAAAAAGAATAAGTTAATAAATGTACTTAACTATAACATAGTTAAAGAAATTCGATTAATAGTATAAAATGGAACTTTCTAATTTGTTCTAATTCAAAAGTTGCATTAATGAAAGTAATTTGTATACTAAATTTCAAAAGCAATTTCATTCATGTTAAGACATCTCATATGTACATAGGTATGGTATGGACCAATTTGAGCTATTTTTTTAATAAGAGCTAGTGCCGAGCCTGAAGTTAATGCCAGTAACCTTATTTGGTCCAAAGCGGTCAAATTGTTTATAAAATATCCCCTAAGAGTGGCCGGCGCCATATCTAATTTCCTATTTTCGGGCGAATCGACATGCAGGCCTCCCTGTTTTCTTGTAGTTAGTATGTAGTTAAATACTAAGTGTACCAGGACGTTTACTCAATCGAGAGTTATCAATTTATACTCATGTTTAAGAACAACGAAGTTACAGATAAAGATCATGAAATTTTGAAAAGTTTTAATTTCTAGTCATTTTGATGTACTTAACTCCATACAATAGTATATCTGGAATAATATTTTGCGTTACAAAGAACAGTTATTTCAACAAGACTGTTATACTCCTTCATTGCTGCGAGAGCATAAAAATTATCATACCGAGAATGATTAAAAGAAATATTGGTCAATTAAAAATGAACAATTAAAATAGAGTCAAACAATTTATTTTAATGAATAACCTTTGAATATAATAACCTTTGAAATACTTGCCGACAAATGTATATTGCTGAAACTTCTCGGAGGATTTTTGAGATAAACACAACCACCAAAACGATCGCAAAAACATCACTAGGTACCAAATAGAATCACAAACAATAATAAGCATCTTATAAAGACGCAGATTAATCACATTTCTTACAGTAAAACTTATAGACGTCAAATAGGCGTACACACTGTTACACTGTTTATGATCGTACAATTGATATTTTTGTTTATTATAAATAATATTAATAATTTATATATTTTATACCATAAAAATTAGTATTGCTTTGTTGACCTGTGTTATGACTATTACATTATCTTAACTTTTGCTTTTGTATAGATTTATGTACTTATGAAGTAAAAAAAATCACAGCACTTTACTCATTCATTCATTAATCAGACCGCAAAACAAAATATGGGCGCAAACCATAAATTCAATCCACCTCGTTTTACATTAGCCCCGCATTGTCGCAGAGGAGCTGAGCTGCAAATGACGCTTTAACATGTGAGTGAGCCAGATTTCATTGAGGCATTTGCAGAGCCAACCACCACTTACAGCATTGAGGGTTCGAACGACGGTTCGCCGGTTGTGACAAAGTGACAACTGAGCGATGCATAGATCAGAAGATCTAAAGCGTAGCTCAGAGACAACTGCCCTTGCGGCGAGTAGACACAGTGTGAGACTAAACGACAGACACTCAACCACGCTTCAGATAAGGTAATCTAGAAACTTGCATATATGTAGATACGTTTAACATATAAATAGATTAAGACTTGCTGATCGATTGGCATTCAGCGGCTTGAATCGGCACAAAGTGAATCGTAGCGTCGGCACAACAAAAACCTCATAAGAATACAAATATAAATATACGACTATAAACTAATACAAGTGGTAAAAGTTATGCTCTAATTCACACACGTTTAAAATAGTGTTAGCATAACGCGTAAAACGTTTTGAAAGTAAGAAGAGACGATATCGAAAGTGAAACTAACGATAACAAATAAATAAAGGGAATTACTACAAACAAGAGACTTTTAAGAAGCTGTAAAAACTAAATTGAAACAAAATGACTTCTGCTATTAACAACATACTGCAAAGTTTGGGTCTCAATTCGGCGTCGAAAAAATCTAACAGTACTTCCGCAAACCCAGTGCTACATAAAACATTTCCACAGGAACTCAGCAATGGCCTACTACCACGCGGCCTTGCCGAAATACCACTGTCCGTTGTTGCACAACACGATGAGTACTCAGACTGTTGGATTGTCATTTACGATCGCGTTTACGACGTCACACAGTTTCTACGCGATCATCCCGGTGGCGAGGATATCATAATGGAGCATGCAGGCCGTGATGCAACTTTGGCTTTCCATGGCACCGGACACTCACGATCGGCGATCGAACAAATGAGCGACTATCTGATTGGTGAATTACCGCCCAAGGAGCGCATTTTCAGAAATGGCAATGCGAAAGTGTTGTCTATTGACGTGCCACAGTGAAAGTAGAGAGAGGAAGTGTTTGAGAAATGATCACGCTACTCAATGTAAATCGCTCACATGTATGATAAGACAGACATACATATGTAGGTATGAAAAGCTTTTTGCTCACTCTTGCTGATACTAGCACTACACTCACTTGTTCCTATATACAATTTGGTGTCAGCATAGCTGATAACCGATTCAAATTAACTAGTGTCCAGCCGAATCTTATCACTTTTGGCGAAGAAAATCTACGCATCAATGAACCCCATGATCCAGTAGTATAAATATTCCATATAATTTAGGATATGTGAGTGATTTAGAACATTATTTCAGAAGTTTAACGAAGAAATTCATATAACTAAATATGCATAGATTATAATTACAAAGTAATCAGAGCTTTACATTTTACATTCCGTTCAAAACTGCTGGGATTGTGATTCTATAGCAGTCTTCAATGTAATTACTCTTTACAATGTAGTATTGTTGATGCCTTTATATGTTAGCTACGTAGTGTACTTAAGTATCATATAAATTAAAAACTGAACATTCAAATAGAATTTTAGTGCCGTAACATTACTGGCCAATAATTATATTAAAAATTATATGAGCAAATGTTGTGTTAATGTTATACCGTTATATAAATCTTATTTGATTATTTATTTTAAAAAATATTTACGTGGGAAAACGTAAAGTTCTGTAAACATTTATTTCCTAGCGCTAGTTTTAATTTAATGTAAATGATGTTTCTTACACCGTCCCTCCAAAATGTACATAAACATATATAAAACTTTAAAATATTTGAAAATAATATTTAATCAAACAAAAACTAAACCCAAAACTAGTTAAACTTCTTTGGAAATACTATCGTAAGCACATATTGCCACCCTCCTATTGGCAAGGTAGTTATGTGATTTCTTTCCAGCGAGCGTTCTATTCGATGGGTGTTAGATGCGGAAAATGCGATGAATATAGAAGCATTTCAAAGCCATACTTAAACCAATTCATACACAACTGTTACCGTTTTAAAAGTTCTGTGACAGCATATTTTTCTCCTACGAATAATTTCATCCTTCAAAGATTTTCAGATGGAGGATGCAGAATTTAGCAAACCACTTTTTAAATACCAAAACTTCTTCTTCTTCTTCTTTGGCACTACAACCGCGGATCGGTCTGGGCTGAGAACACAAAACTTCGCCAGTTGTCTCTATAATTTGCGAAGTCACGCAACTTGTACATCCCAAGGGCAAACAGGTCGCAATGAACTTGATCCTTCCATTGGATGCGTGGTCGCCCTTGCTTTCGTTGTCCATACATTAGTCTCAAATCGAAGAAGCTATTCGCTGGAGCAGCATTTTGCAGGCGAACGACATGTACCCATGTCGTTCTTGAGCTCATACATTTCGCGGATCTTCTTCGATATTCATTGATCAGGCTAGAAAGGGCTGTGCTGACGGCTCTTTTATTAATGCCTACGATGTCAATATCATCTGCGTACCCCAGAAACGTTCTACTTTTAGAGGAGACAGTGCCACTTTTTCCAGATTTATATTAAAGAAGTCTTAAACCTCGTGTGGTCCTTACTGATTTTGACGGAGCTGATGATTGTGCTCAAAGCTCTAAAGGGTCTTCTCCAGGATCTGACGTATTGTGAAAAATTGACCTATTGCGGATTTGCCAGGTCTAAAGACGCACTGATAAGGTCCAATCAGTGCATAGGTAAGAAGGCTGATCCTTAGATAATTAGCGCAGACTGCACAATCTCTCTTCATGTGGATAGTTAGAGTACATTCATATTCCAAACATTGTGCATGTATTCATCCGACCGAATCATGCTTAGCAGCTAGAACATGATGCAACATGATAAGATGCACAAATCAAAGGTCCAGCTGTGACATTTAATGTATGCCTCTTGCTGGTTAGGTCTAACTAAAAAATATATGGATTTATTTCTGCCGCCTGCCTAGGAGAATGTAAATAACCGATTATAAAAATCCAAATTGAATTAATTGGTAGTCACACATAATTATGAAAAGAATATCGAATATGATAGTTTTAAAAATACGTTGCTGTAATAACAGTGATAGAGTGAAAAGCCAGATTATACACTTAACCTACACAGAAATTAAACAAAAAAAACTTTAAAACGATCTTCATTTACATTTATTATAGTTTGTTCTTTGCAAAACTATTACTTATAATTATGAATATATCATAATAAAATCAAGTACTAAGATATAAAACGTTTAATTGCTTTTCATATACTTAAAAATATGTGTAAAATATACAAATTGAAAAGAAGAAACTTGAAAAATATCACTTAACATTTTTGGCATGGCTGTGATGACTAGTGTAAATTGCTACAAACATAATTCTCTCCATCATTATACGCATTTACAAAACTGCGCTTGATTAAAATCGATTTTGTTTTACTATAAATTTAAAAATTAATAGCTAGTCGTGTGTTACTGACTAAACTGCTGATAGCGAAAAAAAAATCGGAAGTACACAGCATTCGTGTTATAAACCGAATGAGTCTTTGGCACTATCTCCCGCAAAGTCGTTATCTTCTGCTCTCACTATTCGCTCAACATTTCACTTTGCACAAGTATCTAATGTTTAGCTACTATTCGGTGGCTCGTGTGGCCCCTGTAAGAGTGCTTGTAGTTTTGCGGCGGCAGGAAACGAGCCTAAGTCGAGCGGTGCTGCGCCACTTGTGCTCTGAATGTAGGCCAAGAGTCTGCGAAAAAACGTAATAAATGTATAAAAATTGCGAGTTTACATAAAAGCCGAAGAAAAAATAACGCTGGTTGGAAGTAAGAAAGTGCCGAACGCCACTCACCGTCGCAACTCGTCCAATGCATTCTGTTGCATTAGTATATAATTCTTAGCTAATAACAATGTGGCGATCTTTGACAGCTTCCGCACGGAAGGCGAATGCGCGTAGGGTATTACGCTGCGCAGTTCATCCAAAGCATCGTTCAGATCGTGCATGCGTCGCCGCTCCCTGCGAAACAAATGAATATAATAAAAGCCATATAAATAAGTATTTAATTAATTTTCCAAACCTCGCATTTATATTCAACCGCACTGTTTTTGCCTGTCGGTTCTTCTGTTTGCCACTGCCACCGCCTCCACTTGTCCCACTGCCCGCGGCCACAATTGTCGTGCCACCAGATAGGGATTGTGGTGGCGTTTTTAGTCCATGCCCCATACTACTGCCACCAACAGCGCCGAGTGCACTTGGACTGGGCTTATTTTCATCTGTCGGCATGGAAGCTTGCTGTGACATACCAAGTCCTTGCGCATAGAAGCCGCCGAGCCCCACAGCACCAAGCGGTGTTCGTCTACCGGGCACACTTTGCGGTGGGCTGGATGTGGGGCCGGGATGGCCAGACATCAAATTTGGTGTTGGTGGTATTGGCATGTGTGCATGACCGGGTAAAGCAAAACCGAATGGCAGATTTGAATGATCCATTTTTAGCAGTGGAGTATGTTGCAGTACCACTTACTTAACTATAAGTATAAATACAGAATTATATGCCCAATATTATCCATAAATTACTGCTATGTACAATATAAAATGATTATAATTAGGCTAGAATCTTTAGAAATGTTAGAGCCTACAACTAAATAATTCCAAATGACATTAAGCATAAATATGGACACTGTGAAACCGGCATCCTAATATTAAATTCTTAAAAAGCTTTCATCGGATATGTAAATAATATTTATTAGTACAGCAGACATTCGGAAAGATATTGACATCAATTTCGGATTTTGCGTTTCAGCTTAACTGAATTTGTTATGGGTATAGATGAGTGATCTTATTCAATTCTGCTCGAGATGAAATCATTGAAACACCAACATGTGCGATGGCCAGAACTATTTGTAATCTTAGTGACGATAGTGAGGCATTCCTTAATTAATCTGGAGCACACGACAGGCGACGATTTTAAAGGCGATCGAAACGAAACCATTTGCTGTTTTATTGACTAGTTTTCATATAGTACTTATGTATTTATATAATGTTAAGCGTATATATTTACTTCGTTAAAGTGCTAATCTGAAAATACTATTCAGATCATTTTAGAATTTGATAAAGTTCAAAAGTTCAGTAGTTAAGATTTTTGTTGAGAATAAAAATTTTGTTTTTATCCAAGGTTATGAGTTTAACGCAAATCAGCAAAATTTTGACCAGTAATATACCTACAACAAAGTTTGTAAATCGGAAAAGAACAGCCCAAATCGAGTTGGCCACCTATATTAAAAAAAATTTTCACATTTGGAGTGAGGATAACCCACAAGAAATTGTTCAGATGCCGTTACATCTACAAAAAGTCACTGTTTGGTGTGCTCTATAGGCAAAGGGAATCATTTGTCAATATTTTTTCAAAAATGAAGCCGTCCATAACGTTACAGTTAATGGGGAACGCTATTAAACCATGATTAGTGACTTTTCCTGAATTGGAGGACGTGGATGTGGACGAACTTTGGTTTCAACAAGACGGCGCTACATGCTATACTGCCAACGAAACAATAAATTTATTTATGGAAACTTTTGGTCTCCAAGGTCGTGCGATTTAACACTGCTGGATTATTTTTTGTGGGGTTATGTGGAGCTATTATCTATGTAGATAAAACGATTAAGGACTTGGAAGAGAGTATTCCGTGCGTTATTGGTGACATCCGGCCCCAATTGCTGTGAAAAGTGATCGAAAAGTAGCGGCTGGAATTTATTCGAGGCGGCCGCAGCGGTTACGTTCCCTAAAAATTTTTTTAAACATAACGGAAAACCCTTATATTTATAATAAAGCTAAATCCTTGGCCATAACATTATTATATATGCTGTTTATTTCTTCTTGAAAACAACATGCCTAAACAAACATCCTTTATTTTGTTTTTAAATGACATTAACCAATTTTATCTTTATAGTTTGCCCAGAAAACAACCCTGTTGTATAGTTGTCATAAACAAACCAGTGCAGCGATTGCTAACCCTAGTAAAGAAATCACATTGAGTGCAGCGCGCACCCAACGGCTAGTAGTCGAACTCACAGCAGTTGCGTAAAGTTGTCGGCAGATGGCGCGCCAAATATATGTAAATTTGTTTATGTTGATTTAATACTAGTAAATAATAATTTACGGTTTTGCCACATCTGCTTTCAAGAATACTTAATTCTGCAACCAAATAATACGCTAAACAATATTATATGCCACATATTATTTAATTCATTCGAGAACTTTTAAACAAACAAGTCGAGTATGCCAGTCAATTAATTTACAACCACTTTGGAGTTATTAGTTTTGCAGTTTTGTAGCATTTTTACCACAAATTATTCGGCACTTACACTTTTTTATTAATTGTTGCAGATTTTTGTAATTACTATATTGCTAATCCTTAAGTTTGTATATATATTTTAATATTTTGTTTATAAAATGTGTATGCCGAAAAACTAGAACACGAAAACACTTTTCACCAAATATCACAAATGTACCAACTGATGACGGCACCGACTACGAATTATAATGGCACGATGGCGAGGGAAATGCATGCAGCGGCAAAAACAACACAAACACCACCACCGCCGCCAACATCACACAATCTCACCAACGAGACAAGGATAAATCCCCGCCGCTTTGTGGTATTCAAAATCCAGATTTTCGTCCTTTCGATACACTTTGCATGCACGCTATGCGTCCGCCATTAAATTGTGCTGCAGAAATATCATAAATGTCCTAAATGTTTGGCGTGGCCAGAGCATTCGGTTGCTAAACGCTTTGCGGTAATGGTGTTAATGCTGCCGCGGCTGCTGCTGGTTATGACAGCAGCAGTAATAGTGACGATGCTGCCGGAGGTAGTGGTGATTGTGCTGAGTCGATGGTGGTTGCGGTGCGAGCAATACACATAATGCCGTAACAACACAAACATACAAACACCCAAGAGAAGAGAGCGCTGCTGCAATTACAACAAACTTGTTAGTGGCGCTATTGAATGATTCTTGCCGCCTGTCGTTTCGGCTTTCGTTCGGACGATTTTTTAAAATGTATAATGCACAGTAGTTCAATAATAATGGGTTAACACGCCAACAACAAAACTAAAAACAGAACTGAAAGTGGTCTTAATAGATCGGTACTTCGTGAATATTCAGCGCTCAGATATATCACAATAAATGACGAAACCAAATATAAACAATCTTTATATTGCCAACGCAGACATTTTCTTACATTTTTTGGAAAATCCTTATGATTTTTACTGAAAATAATCTTTCTTTGATATGGTGATGCCGTTTTTGCCGTCGCGGTCGGCGATAAAATTAGAAGGAAAGCTCTATCTCAAAAATCGTCATGGTGGGCGAAATTCGTCGCCATCGCGTATTGTGTTTAAGCTAAAAGGATTTTATGATCAATTTTAAAGGACTCACGTTCAAAGTGGAAAGCGGCACCCACTAAACAGCTGCTTTTACGAAATAATTTAGGTAGATGAAATAAAAAAAGCAGATTTGAATCGTTTAGCAGGTCTGTTTTTTTTATTTTCAGAACAAATTTACCATAGCAATAAATACATATATTTTAATACCATCATGAGCGTTTTTGATTGAAAAATTGAGGTTTTTTCGATTTCGAGTCGAAATAAGGTTCCTCCTTAATATTTTAAATAAAAAACGAACCTAATTTCGTGAAAAAATGTTTTCTGTGCAAGACAAAAATATAAAACCCAAAAACTTGGATATTTGAATTTTTCTTATGATTTTTGAAGTTACGTGAAAAAGTGTATACACAAAAGTTCTTTCATTAGCTACAGCTTTTCTCTATAACATTTTTCTATAGAACTCGTATTTTTGCTGGAACTCAAGATAAACAAATTTTAACCTTTAATGTGATGAAAATATTCTGTGTTCTTATGAACCGATAGTTACTAAATCAATTTTAAGATTTTTTAAAATTTCAAATAAATCAACTTGAAAAACTGAGTCAACGCACAGAAATTAAGAAATATTTTGACGAACGTAAAAACTAATTCAATGCTACTAAACATAGTCATTTTGAATTCTGATAAATTTTTGTATGTACAAATGCTTTGAACAGTGCCTTCCAAAAATGTAAACTTATGTAGACTTCCGTAAATAACAATCCCGATTGAGTACGCAAAGCAAGTACATAGTATACCGGCAACTATAATTCATTGCCTACCGCATTAGGGGTGTTAATATTTATATGTAACTTAAACCAAAGTCCAACATTTTTTAAAAATTTTGTTCTAAAGATTTAAATGTGCTGTTGAACATTTATTTAGTGCCAGGTAAGTTAGTAAGAACTTTGACTGTAAATTGGGGCAAGAACACTAGTAATATTTGGATTTCACTCCAGTCATTGTGAATTATGTAGATATGTCACCTCGATATTTTTTTATATACAATATTTTGAAAGGGTTCGTAATATTCGTATTCCATCGGATGATTTTTGTACTATGAAATTCTAAGAGTAGTACTTTGACACCCACTCTCAATATCTTCTACTTCCCCTACGGTATATATTTACTTAAAATTTCGGAGAACTGTACCATAGTAAACAATAGGAACTCTGCTACGGCATCACCTATGCTGCTGACAATAATATACTTGATATTGATGTTCATGTTTTGGTGCAAATGATGCCATTGTTTTTGCCAAATCCATTTCTCATGTTTAGGGGTTGAACGGCAGTGCATTAGTGAGTTGACTGTCGGGTGCAGCCGGTTGATTTTCTAGCAGAATTCTGGGCGTTTGTTAATTCAAGAATGATTGAACAACGAAATACACGCAGCACAAGCCAAAAACTAGAAGATTTTTTCACTCGGTACTGATTTTACTCAGAGCAATGCTAAGTGATGTATTGAATTTTCGAGTAATCGGTTTCACTTTACGAATAATAAGTTAATGAATTAAAAATATGTAAGTATATACTTGGATAATAATCAAAGTAGTATTTCTTGAAGATATCTCGGCAAATAAAGAAGATTGGTTCTTGGTTCTGATCGTTCAGTTTGTTTGGAAGATATAGTGGTCCGATATTGACGATTCTGACATATGAGCATCTTTCTCTCTGGACCGATATCTCAAAAACTGAGAGACTAGTTCGCGTATATACAGACAGACAGATAGACGGACTTTATAAGCTCTCCAACGTTTCCTTTTGGGTGTTACAAACATCGTGGCAAACTTAATGTACCCTGTTCAAGGTATACAATTCTTAAAGCAAACGTTTTCAGCTAAAGATATCTAGAGATCTAGCAAGTTGCTTTTAACGCAAAAAAAAAAAAAATATTTTTAATTGAAATCAAGAACAATTGGAAAACATTGTTAAATCAAAACTGGAATTATGACGAGATTGCAGCTCGATTTCAACGCCAACATTTTGTTGCTAATTGTTTGGATAAAGGACTGAGAGTTAGACGAATGTGACGAATATAAAAATATATAACCTAATTTCATCCCATGTAGTAAATTCGTTACACTTTTATCTCAATCATCCAATCCACAACAGATCGTGTTCTAAGTACATGTTTCGAGCTCGGTGTGGTTCTTAATGTTATTTATATTCACAGAAATCAAATTTGATAAAAAAATTCAAATAAATAAGCATAGTTTAAAAAAACTAAAAAGCACGCTTTTAACTAAAAAGTGAAAAATAATTCCTTTTATAAACTGACAAAAATATTGACCGAAAAATATTTGTATTATTGAGAGAAAAGTGTGATGTGCTCGATATACGAAAAATATGGCAGAAGCCATCTAGCTTTTAGCTGCATAGTTTTATAGTCCTTGTACAATTTCGTCCATTTTCAAAGTATGTGATAGGAATAGCTAGTTAACCTCTTATACCAAATTTGGTTGACATTAGTTCGATAGTTTCTGAGATATAGGATTTTACCTAAAGGTTGGTGGCTATAAGTGGTGGTGGTGGGGTTAAGCCTACCTTTAAAATAATGGGAAACTGTTATGAAATTATTGCATTGTCATCTGTTATTGACACGTCTGCAAAGTTTCAAGTTGATCAAACTACTGGAAACCAGTGAAAATTGAGCTCTAAGACTCCATTACATACATACAATCCAAGCTAATAGAACAGTTTTAAAAAAGCTGAAATCTGTTCGACACCGCTTATTATATTAAAAGATCTTTCTTTCATTATCAGTAATATATGTAAATGAAATTTAGAGCTCACGAAAAACGATAAAATGGTAGAACAATTTTCATAACCTAAACTGGAAAAAAAAATGATCGAAATTTGTATATATTGAATTTAAGAGAGTTTAACTTTGACTGTTGAAACTTGTAAGACAAAAATATTCAAAACTAGCTTTAAGACGCTTAAGTTAATATACTTTTGACTACTTTTGGTATAGGCATAGCTTCCTTATCATCCATACTAAGTTCAGTTGAGATTGAGCAAATAAAATTGAAAGAAAAAAGTAATAGATCAATATAGATTTATGGCCATTTATGTATTATATTATCGATAGTTAACTTCCATAAAAATATGCAACTTCTCAAACAAAAAAACCGACTACTTTTTCAAACGAAACTAACCTCCATTCTACACTGAAGCAACACAACACCAAATTGTGTACTGCTTTTAGCCTATACGCCTATCTTAGCCCGATGCCTCGTAAAGAATATTTATAAATTCTAATATATTTTTCCATAGGGAGCATGTGTTGTCAACTGTTTGTTATCGTAATGATGACACAGTTTTCGCATGTTTTGCAGTTGTATTGCATCGAGAACACCAGTTGTTATTGCACAGTAGTAATTTTGAACTGTGCCATCCATCCATCCAGCTAATACTACGTTCACATAGGAACTCTTTTGACCCTCGTTATCGGTTGTCTTTTGGTATCGCTCTGTGCGTTCACACGAGCAAAAAGAGTTCAGTAATTCAAATCGAGTTTTTCTGTCATTCCTTTTCATAAAATTTTCGCAAATGTTTGTGCGGTTCAGCCTCGCCACACAAGTGTGTTGCATATTTCATTTGTATGTTGGGATGGTGGTCTCACATTTTGCTTGCAAGGAATTACCATGAAAGTGGTAGAACAATATGCATAATTCTCGCCTAATAGTCGGGAAACTATCCAGCAAAATATTTTGAATACCCGCCACTAATATTTTCATGGGAAAATTTGTAACAGCAATTTCCTAATCTTTCAGAAAGTATTCAAAATCCATAATTTTTTTACTACATATTTTTTTTCTATTTCTTATAAAGCATTCATCAATTACTTACAATTCTTGTTTTAAGTAAAATGGTATTCAAACTAAATCCCTTGTGGTTAAGAAAAATGAATATGAAAGCATCTTAAATTTTTATGTATATATAAAAAAGTGAAGGCTAGTATATCATTACATTTAATACCGCAATATGTTATTAAAAATGTATATTAAATATTTTTAAGTATCTTAATTTTCTCCTCATTCATAATTTTTCAAAATATTTCTATTATTCTATGCGTAGATATTTGCATAATACATACAGGAAATAGATAACAGAATTCAAATTTCTGAACGAATGGTATATATTCATTTGAATCCGAGCGCTCTTGCAACCATGAAAAGAATTTAAAATGTAAAGTAATGCTGAAAAGAGTAGCAGCGAGATTTTATGAACAAGAACACGCAGCATGCCCCCCGGCACGGTCCCTTCGTCTTTCCTCGTCGTCCCTTTCGCCCGCAATAATCCGGTTTGGGTTACAAAAGAGTCTGTGTATGAACTAGCACTTAGCGATAATCGTTGCAGGCGGCGGCAAAGTTCGAGCACAGGGGTTATGCCTAAAAACTATTTTTGCCGGGTAAAGATTTTTCTGTCAGATGTGCACCACCCAAACAAGCACACGCACATGCAATATTTACACATACATATGTATATGTGATCGTATCAGCCACATCCAGCTAAAGCGCCGCTTGTACTTAGCTAGTAGGTAATAGCGCTTGGGCGCACAACCCATGCAAAAAAAATGCCAGCTTTCTCTCCCCTCCGAAACTGCACTATACAAGTAT